TAAAAGTAGATATGTCACTGAGATTTTCAACAAATATTTTAGATATCTTCAAATGAAATCTCTGAGACGTCTTAAAAAAAATAAAAAATATTGTGAAAAATTCGTTGAATCTTTTTTAAATCAAGCCAAGTGTCCGATAACGATCGTAAATTAAAAAATGCATTTTCACGATATGTTGATAAATTATTAAAAGTAGATATGTCACTGAGATTTTCAACAAATATTTCAGATAACTTCAAATGAAATCTACGAGACCTTTTCACTCTTTGGCTACTAAGAGCGCCTAAAGGCGGCCGCCGTTTGGTCGAATATTGCCTGCACGGTCAGACGAATTTCGCCCATATGTCGAAATGGCACCGTGTTCAAAGGGTTGAAAAAAATTCTGCCGCTCGAGATATTTAGCAAAGATTAGGAAGAAAATATTTGTAAATTATTCAGGGTAATATTGGGAGAATGTTATATTTCTTTATTAGCAATATTCGTTGCTACCAAGTACCTTGGCTATTTTCCCGACTTTTGTTGCTAATTTCGCATAGGATCCTGGTGTAGACCCAGCAGATGACCACCAAGGGCACTAGGTAAAATCCCATAATGCAGAAGATCTGGTAAATGATCTCGTCCACATTCGAGGCGAAGAATCCGAAAGTGACGCATTGCACATATCCCGGGTACTTCTTGTGCTGATCAACGTGGAAAATGAAGCTCTGAAAATCGATGCATTTAAATGAGTGTATTAAATTGTGGAATAGAAAATAAACGAAGAGCAGGTAAAAGGAAACGGAATCTCGTTAAGGTGATATCAGAGGGACATTCTCTAGATAATTTGGTCTACCCAGTCATGAGAAAAGTTTCATAAATATTTTCATATTTAGACATGTATATACCACACTTTCATATCACCTTAAGGTTTTACGTGTTTTATAAAAATAGAGTGGGAAAATATTTATAATATTGTTCTCCAAACTGGGTGTGCCAAATCATTCTTCAGCACGTGATTATGAAAGCCATAAGGAAGAACATGATGCTCGTGAAGTTTCATTTTTCGAAAAAAAACCATTTCTTTTCATTTTTCCTAGACTAAATTACATTTTTTTTTGTGAAAAATACAATTTCACGAGGATCGCGTTTTTCCTTACGGCCTTTCGAATGATTTGGTGCACTCAGTTTGGAGAACAGTATTATAAATATTTTCCCATTTTATACATATATAAAAAACGTGAAACCTTAAGGTGATATGAAAGTGTGATGTATACATACCAAAAAGTGAAAATATTTATAAAACATTTCGACAAACTGGGTGCGCCGGATTATCTAAAACTTTAACACGTGATTATGAAAGCCACAAGGAAGAACGTGATGCTCGTGAAGTTCCATTTTTCGAAAAAAAAGAAATCTTCTTTTGCTTCTTGTTCGAGATAAATGCAAAATTTTTTTCGAAAAATGAAATTTAATGAGCAATAATGTGTCAAAGTTTTAGATAATTCGGTGCACCCACTTTGGAGAAAAGTTTTATAAATATATTAACTTTTTGTTATGTATATCGCACTTTCATAACGCCTTAAGGTGTTCATATCTTTAGGTATATATTAGCATTTTCCAAAGAAAAAAGAAAAAAATTTGAAACTTTGAACCAATTCCTTTTTTAAATCGTATTCTCCAGGTTTGTTATAAGACATTTAAAAAAATATTAGTTTCGCATTGTTCCAAATTTGCATATGTATTGTTAAAATACCTGGCTATAGAAATGACTATTAGCAAATAAGTAGAAGCAAGATAAGGTACTCGGCATTTTAATTAACCATTAATACCTTTCTGCAAAGTTTTCTGTACTTTGATAAAATCTCTGTTTAAAATTATTGAATGCTGTTAATAAAAATGGTTGTTTTAATGAATATTTAAGACAAATGAGAATGTCCACGAAACCACGGTTCTTAATCATTGACCATAACTTATATAATTGGTGTGATGAAATTATAAATAATTGTATTGCCGAATCGAGCTAGAAAAATTCCAAGAAAAATTGCAGATGTATATAAACGCTTATATAAACATACGTGTATTTACAAATGCACGGATTTACATATTGATCCGTGAAACTGATTAATTTTTGGAAAATTCTTCCTAATTACCAGAAAAAGCGGAAAAGCTTTATCGGAGAGACCGACGGAACTTCGAGAATTCCTTCGTAAAGCTTTTGTAATTGAAATCGTTAAATCGAAATTGAAAATAACCGCGGGCGAGGACCTGGGTCGAGGACATGCATAAATGTTTATATGCATATGTCATGTATACATATGTATACCAATGCTGAATATTTGCCAAGCGTATATTCGTTCGATTTCGGCGCGGGGAACTTCCGGAGGAAATGGCTAGCATTGCTCTTCAAAATGCATCTTATTCAACTCCAAGCAATGTTCAATGTTTTTCTTCTCCAACGGAATTTCATGCAATGTTTGCCTTCTTCCTCCAAATTTTCACCAAACTCCGGGAATTTCAAAGAGAACCTCACATCGCTCGTCGACTTCTTCGCCCTTTAAGGTGAAGTGCAACACATCGAGGAACTTGATCGACGTCGATAAAGAAGATCTTTCTAAATACCTCCGTTGCCAACGTTGGTTTTTATATCGACAGCTGTGTCGAATTATATTGGGTATTGTACTAAATGGCATACTCCACCTGTCGATTTCGTACAATAAATATCAAGAAATTGATGGAAAACTCCAGAAATCCTCTGGATTCATGCTTTCTGAGGCCCTAATTGACTGTAGAGGGACCCCCTGCGCCATCTGTGATTTCCAGGCCAATTAAATTCTCACTCCGGGACCTCGTATTCCGATAGTTTTGGCATAGAAGCGCATAAGACACTTTTTTTGCCTTTATCCCGTTCAAATGCGAGTTTATCGATTACCAGAGTGTTCTAAATTATCGTAAAATTGTCCTGACCCTTTCGTTTTTCATATCAGAGCCTTCGATAATTGTATATGGATCAAAATATGAGAGCTCGACGCCATTTTGGTTCTGGTCTGGGCTAAGTTAAATAATTTTGTGGAAAAATCCAAATTTTTAATGTGTCAGGACAATTCTTAGATGATTACGAGTGATGTGTAAAAGTTTCGAACAGTTTGGTCCAATATCCTTAAAAAAAAGTGTTGTATTCGAATCGACTGATTTGAGGGGAGTTTCACTTCACCTTAATTGTTTCTTCTGAAGTATAACTCCTTTTATCGGAATTATTTCTCTTAAGTGATCTTATAAGGCAGGTTAAGAAATAACAGGAGTCCTAAAATTATTGCAAGAATTTTTAATAAGTAATCAAAGAAAGTTTCGCAATCTTGCAGTTGATGAAAAGAGAGGTAAGAGTTTTCCCCAAGTTATTTGCGCCTGTCTGCAGGCAACCCGAGTTGCACGTTGCAAAGCTGGTTGCATCCTGGAAGGCGCATTTAATAGTCAAGGTAGTCGTCGTGTTTAAGGTGATATGAAAGGCGCTGAGAAATTTAATCCAGGTCGATGAATTAAAATTCATTTATACCCTTTTTGGTGGTAACGCCATTTTAAATACTCAAGTGGTAACATAAGTAACATATACATAACAAAATGTGAAAATATTTATGAAATTTTTCTCTAAACTGAATGCACTGAATAATTTGAAACTTTAACAAGTGCTTAAAGAGGTCCCAGTAAAAGTCCCGAAACTTAATATTTTAATATTTTAGCATATATATTTTACTTTCATAACAGCTTAAAAAGTACGTGTAAAAATCACCGAGACCACTCATAAGGATAATTTTAAAAGCGGCATTTTGTATCGCGGTAAAATTGCAGTCAAAGCGTTGATTTAATTTGCAGTAAAACATTTCTCTCACCTGAGGGACTGCACTAATTACGCTGCATATCCAAGCCACGTAAAGCATTACTTTCCCTCGATGCCTTGCCTCGTCCATTTTTAGTGGATAAAGAACTGCAAAGTACCTGAAAAGGATGCATAAATGCCGAGCTGGGTATCAATTTGCCTTATTCGTTATATATCACGTTATTCCAGCGTTATGTAACTATAATGCAACTATAAAACATCGTACGTAGATACGCTGAGTAACAAATTCCAAGATGGCGACGCGACGCCATCTTGCCGCGGTCATAGATACATTTTTGAAAGGTATATTTCTGCCTGTTCTAAGTGAACTACATCGTACAGGCTTAGTTATACAGATTATTACCGACTTTTGTACAATTCATAAGATAGTTTACTGGTAAGTTACAATATTTTGACAATTTGTGCTGCGAAAGTGCGTATATGAGAGGTGCGACGTGCGCAAAATCGATCGACACGTTCCGCCCTTTCGCGTCTCCATCAGAGAAGCGATATTGTCATAACGATTAATTTTCCTGAAAGCTACATGATCACGAAGCCATCGTATATGTACTTTGCATAGACGGAGAAGACGGGTTGACCTCTTTGTCAATTTAAGGTGATAAACCTTAAATTAATAAAGGTCAATAAACTAAAATTCATCTATACACTTTTTGGTCGTGACGCCATTTTGAATACTCAAGTGGTAATATAAGCTGGCGCGTCACGTTACCGAGATTTATATTTATGTTGAAGTCTTTTACAGTCTATGTTCCTAATTATACGGACTGAAGGGTTCTATATGTCATTTCGGTAAAGTAATGACGAAGAAATTGGTGTAAAACTGTCGAGGAAGATAAATCTTGGAGTTTTATGATATCTCACTATAATTTTATGAAATTCCACTGGATAATTAGTAAAACTTAGAAATTGGATAATAAATGCGTATTTAGTCATTCATTTTCAATACTCTGAATTTAGAATTTTACTCCAATCCATTATTAGTAAAAAATTATCCAGTGGCATTTCATCAAATTATAATGTTATGTCATGAAACTGTAAAACTGAGGCATTGATAATAAATGCGTATTTAGCAATTAATTTTCAATATTCTGAATTTAGAATTTTGCTCCAAGCCAGTATTAATAAAAAATTATCTAGTGGAATTTCATCAAATTATGATGCGATGTCATGAAATTCTAAAACCTAGACATTGATAATAAATGCGTATTTAGTAATTCATTTTCAATACTTTGAATTTAGAATTTTGCTCCAATCCATTATTAGTAAAAAATTATCCAGTGGCATTTCATAAAATTATAATGCGACATCATGAAATATTAAAACTTAGACATTGATAATAAATGCGCATTTCCTAATTCCTTTCCAATACTCCGAATTTAGAATTTTACTCCAATCCAGTATTAGTAAAAAAACGATCCAGCGGAATTTCATACAATTATAATACAATTTAAAAAATATAATACAATTTTATTCCAAGCTAGTGTTAGTAAAAAGTCTAAGAATTTTATGAATATCTTTAACGACGCAAATTTCTAACCCATGAAATTGCTAATCGCTGGAACTGAAATTTATTACTCGAGGTGGTAAATGAAAAGGAGCAATATTAATGAATATTTTTAGAGCTCTCGTTTGATTTTTCGATTTCGGTCCGGGACGTCACGTCACATTTTGCAATCATCACTGACCTGTCGATGGAGATGCAAATGAGGATGTTGCTGGACAAGTAGAGTCCCAAGGGTCGCAGAAAGTGGAAGAATTTGCAAGCCAAATTCCCTGCCAACCACTGCACGGTAATTCTCCATCCAACCTGAGTTTTCGGAAATAATGTTAATTAATAATTAGGGAGAATTACTTAGCAGTTAAGAAGATTACCTTTATACGGGAAAGTTTCGGGATAATAGGATAATAAGGTTTAGGAAAATGAATCTTGTTAGTACCCACCATCCTTGGAAGTGAACATAACTTTACCTAACAATAAAACAATGTGACTATCTATAAATAATTTTTATTCAATACCGGGGGAGTTTAAATTATTACTCCTCGTACTTTTCTTACGGATAAAAATGTTTAATCTCATTTATTGCCTGATAAGGGAATAAGAAATTCATAGTCAGACTACAAAATGGAAGAGGAAATTTGAAATCGGAATTTTACCATTTTGTCGTAATAACTTTTGTTAGCCATAAAACAAATAAAATTACATATAAATGTTCTTTTCTCGATGCAAACGCAAGATATTTAAAAATTTATAATCCGCGGACATTTTACGGATAAAAATGTTTAATCTCATTTATCGCCTGATAAGGGAGTAAGAAATTCATATTCAGACTAAAAAGTGGAAGGAGAAATTTGAAATCGAAATTTCACCATTTTGTCGTAATAACTTTTGTTAGCCATAAAACAAATAAAATTAGTTATAAATGTTCTTTTCTCGATGCAGACGCAAAATATTTTAAAATTTATAATCCGCGGACATTTTACGGATAAAAATGTTTAATCGCATTTATCGCTTTATAAGGGAATAAGAAATTCATAGTCAGACCAAAAAGTGGAAGGAGAAATTTGAAATCGAAATTTCACCATTTTTCGTAATAACTTTTGTTAACCATAAAACAAATAAAATTACTTATAAGTGTTCTTTTTTCTATGCAAACGCAAGATATTTTAAAATTTGTAATTCGCGGACATTTTACGGATAAAATTGTTTAATCACATTTATCGCTTTATAAGGGAATAAGAAATTCATAGTCAGACTAAATAGCGGAAGGAGAAATTTGAAATCGAAATGTCACCATTTTTCGTAATAACTTTTGTTAACCATTTCCCGTCACATCACCTTAACCAGGATAAAGGATGGAGACTGTAATTTATAGGTTAATCACAGATTAACCGGAGTTAATTTCAGTCCTCGGCCCGATCAGGCGTATCGATCCATCTCATTGCACTTGGCAATTGGTAATTGTACCTCTCGAATCTTTGCGATTGCACATTGACCTTGAGGCTGGTTTGTTCGTTTGATACTCAGCTTTGAAGCGTTTGTCGCTCTCGGGTTAATTCCTGCTTCGACTGACAGGAAATTATGCACGACAAACGAATCCCAATACCGACCCGAACAGAAACCGTTTGATTATCGAGTCTTGAACAATCGTTACCCTTCTACAATAATAATTAAATAACCACATCAAACGGTTTAACGAGCTCGTACCTAAGCATACGCGAAAGATTTTCGAAAAGAAAAATGGAATTTAATCCGAGAAGATTCGATATTTGGATCCAATACCCTTAACCCTTTGAACACGGAGCCATTTCGACATATGGGCGAAATTCCTCTGACCGTGCAGGCAATATTGGACCAAACGTCGGGCGCCTTTAGGCGCTCTTAGTAGTCAAAGGGTTAAAAAAAGACTCTTATTCGAATCGACTGATTTTAGGAGGGTATCACTTCNTCGTGAATTTTAATTTTTAATTAAAAAAGAATTGCGGTTTGCTTAGTCTGGATAAATAAATTAACATGCGGATAAATGAATAAAATTATTAAGAGCTTACCATTTCTCGAAGGGACACCTTTTCGACGACGCCAGGACTCGGTATCCTGGAACTCGTTACAGGTGTTAAGTTCATCTGGTACGTGTCAGTACTTCTCGTACGAGTGCTGCAAACTGTATAAAAAGGGGTAAAAATTAATAATTAAACCCAAAAACGACTCCCTTAACATATATTATTCCGTGGTCATTCCTTGACCTGTAAATTCAGACCTAATACCCTTAACCCTTTGAACACAGAGCCATTTCGACATATGAGCGAAATTCGTCTGACCGTGCAGGCAATATTGGACAAAACGTCGGGCGCCTTTAGGCGCTCTTAGTAGCCAAAAGGTTAAAAAAAGTGTCTTATTCGAATCGACTGATTTTAGGGGGGTTTCACTTCACCTTAACAGTTCATACAGTTGGACAGGTCAGGCAGATTGTGATAGTCCGATCCAATACCCTTAACCCTTTGAACACGGAGTCATTTCGACATATGGGCGAAATTCGTCTGACCGTGCAGGCAATATTGGACCAAACGTCGGGCGCCTTTAGGCACTCTTAGTAGCCAAAGGGTTAAAAGAAAGTATCTTATTCAAATCGACTAGATCGAATTCTTCGGGGTGTTTCACTTCAGCTTAATACTTAACTTCTATTGTTTTTCTGGAATCGAGAAGCTACCGGGAAAAGTTATTTACCACTTTGTATGCCTCATTTGAGTTTACAAGGCCTGACTTTTTTTTCCTACCGTTAAAGGTTGCGCAAGAGTGTGAAGTGGTTAACCCCCGAGTAAGAGAAGACGCCTTTGCATATTCAATTTTCGTAATGAATGCTGTTCATCAAGAATTCGAGGTTTTTCAGGAAAATGTGGTCGTACGCACCTCGTAAAATATCGCGCAAGACGCTTCTCATTGTCCTAAGGAATAATGAAGTGACGCCCGGGGACATCGATTTCAATTGTCCTGATTCTGGAACAAGAGAAATGGGGTTCATCTTTAAAAATACCAAGAATATTTAATTTCGAATGGACTAAGTCGATTTTTTTATCAACATCCCCGAACGTCGGACATTCTTTTTTTTAATATTTCATGGTTTTAAAAATAAACAAAGTAACACCCGATTTCAATTGTCCAGATTTTGCAACAAGAGAAAGGGGGTTGATTTTCAAAAATAAAAAGAATATTTACTTTTTGATCGTGATCAAATTGATTTATTTTTTACTGTCATTTGACATTAGCTTCGTCGAGATTTTCGAACCCGAGAAAATGTCCTACAAATTTGTTGTCAGGAAAGTCATAACGCATTTTTCAATTGCCATCTCTTGCGAAAATGAGTTATCACTTTCCCGACAACCTAATAATTTATATTTTATCCTTGTTTAATTAATTACCGGCACTACGCTGCGTCAACCTTGGATTGGCGTTCACGTTTCTCGCTTCGTAAGGCAGAAAACACCGACGACACTCTTTTCGGAAATCCACAGCATAACTACCATACACCATGGGGTTGGCACAAGCGTTGACGATTGCCGTTGAAAAAAGCACGTCTTGCAAGCTCAAATTCACCAAACTTGCGCTGTCTCGGTCGAAAATGTACCTAAAATCATAAAAAACAGAGAAATGTTAATAAAAAGGCATAAACGTTGACGATTGACGTTGAAAAAAAGCACATTTTGCAAGCTCAGGTTCACCAAACTTGCGCTGTCTTGGTCGAAAATGTACCTAAAATCACAAAAAACAGAGAAATATTCATAAAAACGCACGAATGTTGACGATTACCGTTGAAAAAAAAGCACATTTTGCAAGCTCAGGTTCATCAAACTTGCGCTGTCTTGGTCGAAGATGTACCTAAAATCATAAAAAACAGAGAAATGTTAATAAAAAGGCACGAACGTTGACGATTGCTGTTGAAAAAAAGCTCATCTTATAAGCTCCGGTTCACCAAACTTGTGCTGTCTCGTTTGAAAATGTACCTAAAATCATAAAAAACAGAGAAATGTTAATAAAAAGGCATGAACGTTGACAATTAACGTTGAAAAAGCTCATCTTGTAAGCTCAGGTTCACCAAACTTGCGCTGTGTCGCTCGAAAATGTACCTAAAATCATAAAAAACAGAGAAATGTTAATAAAAAGGCATGAACGTTGACGATTGACATTGAAAAAAGCACATTTTGCAAGCTCAGGTTCACTTAACTGGTGCCGTCTCGGTTGAAAATGTACCTAAAATAATGAAAACCTGTGAAATGTTAGTAAAATACGCGAATAAAGAGCACAAAATAGTGTCTCTGCACTTGTCATTAATATCCGTCTCGGCGACTGAGATCACCAATTTCTAATATTTATAAATGTTTGATGTATATAGAATGACCCTTTCGTAACACCTTAAAATCAAGGTATGATTTTATGTAAGCTTACCACAATATCATTGCACAATATGGAGTCCAGCAAAGGATGAAGACGGCAACAATAGTGATGGTCATCTTCAGGGTTCGACTTCGGGCTCTTTTGATGTTCGACATATCGGATCTTCTCAGTCTCAATCGACTTCCACTTTTTTTCGAGTTCTTCGAGTCCGTTGTTCCCTTTCTCTGCGACCTCGCCATGTCTGGAGGAAATCGGAAAAGTCGTCAGGAAATAATTGTAATTAATTAGTCGCGCAATTACTCGAGACGATCGAGTTGACAATCTCAAACGCGATTTGGATTGGCTAAGGTCATTATAGATAAAAGAAGAATTAAGTGATAAGAAATCGACTAGTCGATCCAGTATTAGTTTACCCTTTTTTATTTTCGTAAGACTTAAAACGATTAACAATTTAATGACAATTTTGTAATTCATGATATGTTGATAAATTATTAAAAGTAGATATGTCATTGAGATTTTCAACAAATATTTTAGATATCTTTACATGAAATCTACGAGACATCTTAAAAAATCTGTCGCTTGAGATATTTAGCAAAGAATACAACAAAATATTTAGAAATTATTCTGTACTACCAGGGGAGTGATGCAACCTGCCACATATTTAGACATTTGGTTATGGACAGGGAAAGGAACGCGTTCTAAAAAGACTGTTTGGCACGTAGTCAAAAACAGTTAAAGAAAGGATTTTGGAATTTATGACCCACATCAGGGAGGTTTTCACTTTAGGACCTGCTATGGCGACACATTCCCAAAGGGTATCGTATGGCTAGCAGACATCGTAGACTTTCTTAAGGATTCGAGGAATTCTGTTTCGTCTTGGAAAAGCAAACCTTTTGAAAATGTTAACCGATAGTCAACCAATCAGAGCTCAGCATTTCAAGTGTATCCCTTCCAATGTGTCAATAGAGGAAAGAGAAGGGAGTACATCACAATTCAACTTTTCATTTTTTTAGAACTTCAGACTCAACTAGGACTTGGAACAATTTGGTTGGTTGTCTCCACCCTCGAACTTATTGTCAGTGCATTAATTGGATAAGCGAATGTACCGCGGATCTTATTGATAAATTGTATGGTTAATCCATCGTTTTATTCTTGTAATAAATCGTTATTATTTTTTAAACTTGTGCGTGGTTAAAATTCTCGGACTTTGAATTTACCCGCCAGGAACTTTATCTCAGCGCTCATCCTCAAGGAGCGCAAACATAAATATGGAACGAAGATTAAGCAATGTCGGATAATGAGTAAATGTCAGATATCTAGATTACCTGCTGTTTTTTACTCACTAGAAAACAATTCATATTTTCAAAAGTATGGCATACTGCTTGTCAACTACACTTCATTAACCTAGTATACATTACGTCTGTGATACACGTACTGAATATAATAGAAGCAAGTAAAAGGATATATAAAATAAAGCTACCTCAAATTCAATGACAAACGCGAGAGTTACTGTTTTTCTGATAGGATCATCAGGGCTTGTGATTTTATTCGATGCAGACCGAGACGCTATTCATTTGGAAATCAGTGAAAACGATTTCCTTCTTTGAGAATCGATTGTTTTTCATTTCATATAATTAACAACAATGCGATTCAGTAACAAAGGACAGTGGGTCTTAAAACGGTGACAATGTTTTGGTGATTTCCCACGATTTCCAGTTGATTTCCATGTGACTTCGAGCTTCAAAATCCATGGTTTCCTGATTGTGAGTGAATACCCTCTCGATGCAGACATTTTTGATAAGATTTGGATTATTTTCACGATTTACTCACAGAACATTTTTAACATACTTACGTACTAATTGTTAGGACTTACATTTAGGTCCTATAAGTGAAGGGTAAACCGTTTGTTACTTCAAATATATATGAAATCAGCCGAACTTATTAATTTGCATCAATAACCTAATTCAGATTTTATCGTTTGTCTCATGTCCTATAATGTTTGCACATGATCTGCATCATCATACATTCGTTTCAACACCATTTCAATCTCAACACTTTACCGTCCGGCGAATTTGGAAGTAAATGGCGATCACGGGTATCGCAAAACCAATTAATAGGCTTCCGGTCGGTAAAGTATTACTTCTAGGGTTAATCGAATGAACTTGGCTGATTAGATAATCACGGTTTCTAAATATTCTATTAGCTCTGATCAGGGTTGGTGCAACCTAAAGAATTCACATTCATGAATTACATCATCACTAACGTAATTCTTTCTGTTTCAGTCAATGACATTTTGATGGCTGTCAAAAATACGAGGAAGGAAAGAATACTTTCTTATTCGAAAAGAGTAACTTCTAACTAAAGCTAAAGAGTTTGCATGTAGGCGAAATTAGAATGCGGGATGTTGGAGAAGAAATTGCAAATGATTTGCTAGATATAGGTCATAGACCGCGGAACGATTTCAGAAAGACCCTGTACGTACCATTTGTACACGAAACGGTGCATTGTGCATCTAGGAGGAAAAGGGTGCATTCATAGGACTCGTGTGAAGTTTTTAGCACAAGTCGGGGTGTTCAAGTTGAAGGGCAGGCAGCGTGCAGCGCCTCCCCTTCAACTTGAACACTCCGACTCGTGCTAAAAACTTCACCCCATCTAGGAGGAAAATGGTGCATTCATAGGACTCATGTGAAGTTTTTAGCACGAGTCGGGGTGTTCAAGTTGAAGGGCAGGCAGCGTGCAGCGCCTTCCCTTTAACTTGAACACTCCAACTCGTGCTAAAAACTTCACCCCATCTAGGAGGAAAAGGGTGCATTTATAGGACTCGTGCTAAAAACTTCACCCCATCTAGGAGGAAAAGGGTGTATTCATAAGACTCGTGTGAAGTTTTTAGCACGAGTCGGAGTGTTCAAGTTGAAGGGGAGGCAGCGTGCAGCGCCGCTTCGAGTCGTGCGGCAGACCTCACCCGCTCGCCCGCGCGTGCGCGCGCACGCACACACACATACACGAAAGAATACTAAATCCGACAATGCAACCTTCATGCGGTGCATCCTGCATAATGCTAATGCTCGTGGCATCGTAAATTCTAAAGCTCATAACTCAGGCAATATTTAGCAGAAATAGATCATCAACCAGTGTTTTTGAAAGACCTCACCATGCTGTTTGAACATTGCCTGATAAAAATGGGGGTACTCCATTAAAAAAAAATCATGACCTTAGTGTTATCTTAACCCCTCCACTCAAGTTCAAGCGGGAATGACCATTCCACAGAACTTTTGAAACCTTAATAACGTATAGAATTAATAACAAAGAGGAAACCCATCAAAGTAACAATCAAGACCGTATATGATGTATTTTAAAAATTGAGAGCACTGAAAATTTACGACATAGGCGGCACGTTTGACATGACGTTTCAGGCTATTTTAGTTGACGGAAAATCCGCCCGCGAACAGCGCCAATTGACGCGCATCAAAGAAACAGTTCTTATTTCGAGACATGGACTGTCATTTTATTTGACGAATAGTGACTCACATTCTCGGAGTTTGATTATTATAAATAGATTCCCCTGCCCTGTTACCCCCTGGCCTATGTCACATCAAAACGTTTTGAGCATTTCTCGATTTCTGGTCGGCGTTCACTTGTCGTCCACTGATCGCCCTGCTTCGATCCCCCTTGGTCTGCGTCGTTTCCAAATCGTAGGTTTCCGACACCGTATACATGCGTTGCTCCATGCGATCAGATTCTTCAATTGAAGTACGTACTAATACAATTTTTTTAAATTACATTTAATTTAAAAAATCGATTTCTATCTATATTGGTACTCGTAGGAGGGGAAATTACCCAAGGTGAATCTACTATTGACAAGTCTATATTTTCCGTAGATTCACAGGTATAGTTATTTGACTTATTGTTAAAGAAGACGTATGTAAAATGGATTCAAGCGTTCCGTTCTGCGATCCTCCACCAAATGCCGTCCCGTCCACTGTTCCCAGGGACTGTCTTGGTCTAGCCGTATCAATTGTTCAGGCCATGCTCATATCTTCTAAACATGCTCGCCTTTCCTCGCCCACGATTCTGGGAATAGGTCCGCCCATGGACCTCCGATCATTTTGCCTTGCCTCTTCGAAATATTTCCTTCATACTGTATGACAATTATAATAATCAACCTCAGTTACCAATCATTTACATAATAAGTAGGAGTATTTATTGATAACGGAATTGAAATTTAATAATTTGTAACTTCTTTCCATGTGCAAGTGGATGGTATACATGGTTTTTACGAAAAGGACTGATTTGCAAATAGGATACTAATCAACGTTATAGTTACAAAATTCCGTGTCATCTTGCTCGGAAAAATAGTATTCACATAGAACGATTACAACATAAACTCCGATCCGTTCGTGATAAATTATCGTTGTGGCGACCGCCACGTCAACCCTCGAATAAAAATGTACAACTACGCCGTTGTAACGTTCAAAGATTCTCGTTCGAAAAATTCTCCGTGCACTCTCTGGCGCGCATATTTACCGTTTAGGATACAACGTTACCTTGGGCAAGGCTTTGCCTTTGGGGTTTGTTGTGTACATACATCATGACACATTAGATTCAATCACATATGTTCAATAATCGGAGTTCTCAAATTCTCAGGATTTCAGCCCCAATGCCGACAACAACTTTCGTTCGCGTGTCTTCACCGCTTTACTATAGTTGGAGCAATTCATTTGAAACGTCACACCGAGCGAAGTATATTGCTTTACGCTCATGGTTTGATTCATTTTCAAAAAACCCTTGGATTTGCTAAATTTGCGGTTTCAAATGGTCAAATCCTAGTAAATCCATAGAATGGTTGACTCCAAGGCGCCCGAGTGTTCGACTACCTAGTGGTACTTGGAATTTTCCGTACCAGGGCAACTCTTGTCGATCTTGGACGACCCCATGTGCGAGTCACCTGGAACCCTCAAAGACGCGGCAAAGGACGGCACCTAAAAATTTGGCACGTCCAAGTGACTTAAGGTGAAGTGAAACACGTCGAGGAACTTGATCGACGTCGATAAAGAAGATTTTTCTAAATGCCTACGTTGCCGACGTTCGTTTTTATATTGACAGCTGTGTCGAATTACATTGAATATTGTACCAAATGGCATACTCCACCTGTCGTTTGCGTACAATAAATATGAAGAAATCGAAGTAAAACTCCAGAAATCCTCTGGATTTATGCCTTCTGGGGCCCCAATTGACTGCA